TTTTAACTCAAAATATCGACGTAATATATACATTTTTCTGTAGAAATCATTGAAATTTTAAATTTACGTCATTTTCGTGACGTCATTTTAAACAAATGACTGCATTGTTTATGAAAACATACAGTGCTTTGAAGTCAGCATATTTCCCTCTGTATAAGAACATTATTAAATATTTCTCCGTCAAAGTTTAATTGGGGGGGGGGGGCAGATACTGATTATTACCGAATAAAGTTCTTTATTACGAAAAATTTAGAAATCTGAAAACAAAAAGAATGACAAGTGTTCTACACGGAAATCGTTTTTTTTTTAATACATTGAACCATTACCATCTAAAACAAGCCTACCCAGAAATGTATATTGGCTAAAATGTAAATAATTCCATCAAGACCACCATATAGACAAACCAAAACTCCCATGCACCAGTTGCTGACGTAATGGGCACAATAAATTCCGTTGTGAAAGCGAGACCTGCTGCTCAGTATGCAAAAATCGGGGCTTAAGCCATGTTGTCAAGAATGTGATTTCTATATTCCCGTAAAACCCCAAAAACTGGAAGCTTTTCACGGAGAAAACAATGTTTAGTCAAATTTTTTCCCATATAAGATTAAGATCTTTGGAGAGACTTTTAAGTCGGCAAAACAAGCCTTTCAAACAGCGAAGGCACTAAGATCAGGTGATGTTAACGTTAAGACTGCTCTTGAAGCAAAACGTATCAGCAATTATGTCCAAAAATCAGACCAATGGAAGGAAACGGAAAAGGGAGTTATGGAACAAATCATCTCAGAAAAGGTAAAACAGTGTGAAAAAAATGAAAGACACTGCTCTCTTTTAAAATCTTGCTCCATTGGTTTCTGAATATTGTTTGAATAAAAAACAAAACAAAATTATATTAGTTGGGGATTTTAATTCAGTGTACAGTGTCAAATACTAGAATGAGTGACCATAGGCTTTTTATTTTTTACTGCACCCTCTCAAAAATGATTGATGTAATGGTTAAAAATTAAATACGTCGATTTTACAAGATGTTTGGTAGATATGTCCTTGTCCGAAGATGCAATTTCGTATAAAGTTAAATGCTGATTTTTTTCACAATAATTGTTAGGTCATAGTTCGCAAAATAAATTAGACACCTCAATTAAAATCGGGTATTAAAGCAATTAAAAATTAATTTCCACATTTGATTATCTCAACAATTTTTTGTGTTTGAAATGGTATAACAAATTTTGAAAACTTCTATAATTGCTCTCTACGTAAATAGTCTATTGATACAGTACTTATGACTCTCGAATCAGTTAGCACACACAGTGATGGGAAGGAAGAAGAACACATGTTCAAGTAGGATCAAAATATATTCAGCATAAATACTTATTCTTTGAAACCTTTTTATTGGAAGAAACTAAGTACATTGAACAGATGAAATGGAATCCACATGAAAAGAAATAAAAAAACGTTAACTCAACAAAGATGAGCATCAATGAACATAATTTTAGCGTTCAGATTATTTTGTTCATTATCACAACAGCAGCATGCAGTCCAATCTGCCTGGACAGATTATTTCTTCGATAACTTTATAAGAATAACACTTCCTGGATGTAATAAAACGCTAAAAGTAAATCCTTGAGGGTTAATGTGCCTGTCATGTTTTTTTTTTTTTAATTTTTTTAAATTTTTTTTTATACAGTTATACAGTTATTGCATGAACTTTAACCAGGATAGCAATATCTCATGTTTAGGTATATATCAAAACAATACAAAAATATGTTAGCATTAACATTTGTTCTGCGTTACTACCATGATATATTATCTTGTTCTAGACTCATGTAAGGTAAGATTTTACGGAAGGCAAGTTTAACTAAATGTTGACAAACCACCTTCAATTGCCAAATTCGTAAACTCATAAATATCTCTCTCTTCCTTCTCTCTCATTCTCTCTCTCTCTCTCTCTCTCTCTCTCTCTCTCTCTCTTCTTTCTACCTCCTTATTGGAGACAAGAAGTGATTATTAAATATTTGGGATTTTTGGTGTATGATTTTATAGAGAGAGAGAGAAAGAGAGAGAAATGCTCAGAGAAACAGATTTATATTATCTATATTGATATTATCGGAACCTTTTTAATCGTTTCCTATATAATTCAATGTAACACATGGCCACTTTGTGCGATCGATATTAATTTGATATAATAATATTAATCATTTACATGTAGATATTTTCCTACATCAAAGTATTTTAAAATTTATAAACTGTCCTACTTAAAGTAATAAAACGTTCCATAAATATATAAATTAGATAGAAAGAGATAGCTTTTGACGTGGCTTAATGTGACGGAATAGTCCAGTACGAGATCGACAATGCTTGTTCTGGGCATCATTTTAGAATTTCTGATCTTCATTGTCCACTACAGCTATGCATGTGAGAAAAGGTTGGTTCAAGAAAACTGGTGATAATTTTTCATGTTTTTTTTCTTGTTTTCTGTGAATTTCTTTTGGTAAAGCTATTTAACGAGGCTTAATTCGCGCAAAATTCCAATGCAACAAACATTATCTGATGAATTCCTTAACAATCATAATTCTCTCACAGAGTATTGCCGAGATCGAGGATATGACACGGATATTATCCTCCAAAAATAATGACTTTCATCTATAACTGATTTTGTAATTGTACTTTGTATGCTGTAATATACCTTTCATAACTTGCTTACAGGGTTTTAATATCTTACTTGATTCGATACGCAAGAATATGTTCTACACATGTTCTCAAACGACGTAAATTAATGACAACCAGGTAAATGTAAAAAGAATATCATCAGCCTCGTTTAAAGTCATCATATCGTACGTTCTATGGTGATACAAGGACTTTTTCAGCAAATATAATATATCATTGAGACAGATGCTGACTGAATTAGTCTAAATGTTAGTCAATTTTTATACACTGAATCAACGATAGATTTTTGTTATTTCCCGATCATGACAAGGAGCACACAGCTTGTGTGACCGGTTGGCATTTTATGCTCACTCCTCCATGACGCCTGATCCCACTTCTGATGGTCCGTGTTTGTTCTGCTTTTATTTTGTATAGTTTTATAAACTTTTGATTTTAAAAAGTGTCCGTCTCTCCATATGTTCCAAAAAAAATGTGTGTTACAATTAAGTCTAAAGTTGATAGAAAGCTTTAATCGCCTGCGTGCTTACACAGGTAAACAAACTAATTTACTCTAAATGTTGAACGGAACAGCGTAATCGCGATATAGTGACCTCGTTAGTTTCTCTATAGAAAAAAAAAACATTAGTCATATTTTAAAAATGTAAGTAGATTAGACATTTTAAGAAGTCCAACATCGATTTACTTTTAAGCGTAAACTCGAATAGTGAAATTGTACTCAAATGGTAACTCTTTTTTCAAGTGATGGTATTTGTTGTTTTAATCACTTCAAAGAAGACAACATATGCAAAGGTAACATTTCTTAATTACCTTAAATACATTCTTTTTACATTATTTAGAAAACAAAGAATAGTTTGCAAATAAAGAGAAAAAACGTGAAACAAAGTATGCAGAATTAGATTTCTATTGAGCAAACATTAAAACGAAATTTCTTACTTTTAGACTGCCTTTATAGTATCTTTATCTCAGTCATTGGTACATTGTAAAACAATGAATAATAATTATTTTGTTATTCATTTGTAACTAATGCGTCATTGTTTTAGAGTGTCCGGCTGGAACATTTGGTTTTAACTGTAGTGGAAAATGTGTTTCTGGCTACTATGGAAAATTTTGTATTGAAGCATGTAACTGCTCAAGTCATCTCTGTGATACAGTTCATGGCTGCCGAAAGAATAACAAACTAGTTTCTTCTAGTACAGGTATATATTTTAACAATTATGTACAAACACTGATCATTAGATAATATAGAATACAATTCATTTAAGGACAGATGATAAAATATTTTTTTTCTTTGGAGGAGACTTAAAATCATTTCACAAGTTTGGAACATCAGAATCAAGATAATTATCTGGACCTCTCATATCAGCATATAATTTTTCACTGTATTTGTTGATATCCTAAATATACATCATTCCCTATAACTCTAAAGCGATATCAGAAAGGAATGACTTGTGGAGAGACAGGTAATTGTTCAGATGGGTCTTGTGACCTTAACTGTTTTTAAGGACTAAATCATTCTACTCAATCTAGGAGTGCATTTACATGTATAGTATTTTCTAAGCACTCATTTTAAGTGTGGAGAGTTTCTATTTGATTGATTTAGATATGGTGAGGAGGATTATTTTTTTTAACATAGTATGCTTGAATACTTTTACTATTTAGGATGTTTTGAAACCCCAGGTTAACATTAAAAATATTCGTTTTCATTGAAATACATTGTGAAAGAAGAATTTTTTATCTTGCGAATATATAAGATTATTCCTTGTATTCAAAGGATGAGAAGAAATTTAAGATTTACTCATAACTTGGAATTTTAGACATGGGAATGGAATAAATAAATGTGTTTGGTATTGCAGTTGTACATCTATTATTTGCAATCAATTTCTATAAAAAAAATTAAATGTCGATTAAAATTCGGTATGCATGATTCTTTTCTGGCAATGTGATCAATGCAATCTTGAAAAGGGTCAAACCTCGCCAAAACACAACGAAAGAAATAAATAAGGTATGATTACGTGTTATGAGGTGGTAGGTAAAGTTTTATGTTTAATTAATATTACATTCAATTTTCTCATGCCCAGTGTATCTTCTCCTACAATTTGAATGCCATTATTTGGCTTTGACAATAGTTACATGAGTAAAACTTGTTCTTTGATTCCTACCATATTGTGCATGTGCAATTAATAAAAGATGAGTTATTACATATTTCAATAATAAAACAGAATCTTTTGGAATAAACATTAAGGACTTTTTAACTTTAAGCTTTGCACGTGACACCTTTACCTACAGATGATATTCAAGTATGGCAGAAAACTTTCTTCTCTCTAATGGGATGCATATTAATGGTCTTTGTAGCAGCAGGGTTTTTACACTACAAGTCAAGGTAAGCATAACATTTAACATTCCAAAGAATTATCTTATTGTCTTCCTTATAAGCAGTTCATAAATGCATAACATCATGCTTTTATGCTCTTATTATGCCAGGAAAAAGAAAAGACGCCAAGCAGGGAATTTTCAGAAAACAGGTGATTTAAATTTCCAAATACATGTGAGGTGTATGTGTTCAAATTCCATATTTTGGCCAAGTATAAAATGACTAAATCAATACGGTGAAAATTCTTAAACCAGCCAAAACGATATTTTAAACAAGAAACACGTATATCTCTCTCTTTTAATTCCGAGGATTAAAGCTAAAACATTTAAACAAACAAACTCAATTGTGTATACCATCGATTTTGATGCTGATAAAAGAGTTGAATTGTTCTTACCTTTTTTTAGATTCACATGCCCTTTCAGCAGAACATAATGACCAAACAGCCTCATTGGTAACTGTAGATATACCTCCTATGACGGATACAGCTCGTGATACAGATATCTACGCTGACATAAGATCCTCTCAAATGATGGAATCTCAAAGCCAGGCTTTACCCAAAGGAAACAATCTGTCTATCCAAACGGAGGAAGAATTAATGGATTTAACCATAGGGTATGATGGAGACTACAGAAATATCTTAGCTTCACATTCTTGTGGAAGAAGCAAAGAAGATGATATTTTAAAGGCCGATAAGCAGGAAAATGATTATGGTATTTTTGAAGAAAGTTGTCAGTACAGTGTGTTGTCCTTAAGAAGAAACTTCGATCCTTCTGAAATGGAATGTTATGCCGTGAAACAATCACTTCGGCGTCAGCTTTCCCACAACAACGACGATCCATACTGTTTGACAAATGTTTGGATTTCTGAAGATCACCGTAGTCTGGATGACTGTGATTCAGACTCTGATGCCAGTTTATCCTCCAAGCACTCCGAGGATGCTTCTCAGAAAAGTAACAGACCCCAAACACAGGATGAAACTCAGTCGTTCAATTAACTGTTTTCGTCGTTTATTGAATGTCCCTTCAAAATTTTTTCCACTAAAATGGTGAGACCACCCTTGTCGGTGGAGAGCTGCAGATACCATTAACTTGAATACTGACTGAAATATTTAATAAAAATTGTTAGACCATCATTTAAACACTGCATTGTCTAAAGATATTTTTGCATATCAGTTTATTACAATATGGATTAAGATATCAAAACAAAGTATAACTGCACCAAATTTGAAACGAAAAAAAAGAATAAAAAGCACTTGTCATTCATTTATTTGTTCGTATTCTGAATAAGTCTAAATAAGTAAGTTACACATATCTTACAATAATATGAATCGCATTTTTAAAAAAATTAAATTTGCTATCAAAATATGCTATTATGATAAATCTATATGTCATTAAAACCATTGGATGAGTGAGCATTTCCTGTCGACCAATAACATCTGCTGTATTTTGTTATGACAGGGAGAAAACGGGGAAAACCGTACACAATTCAGTGTGCAAATAATTCATCTGATTTTATGCTAAACTGCTTCTGCTACATGTAACTAGGTGACTGTACTGACAATAAAATTTACAAAATAATGATAACACTGTTGATCGATAATATTGTTATATATTTTTGTTTGTCAAAAACTAAATCCTTCTTCTAGAGCATATCTAATCATTTGAGAAATTTATTTCCCAGGTGTTAAGTTATTGGTACATAAGTTAATGAGGCTGAAGATTTCAAAATTGAAATCATTACGTTGATGGCTAAGTTACCATTATCTTTGTTTTCTTGTAATTATCCGAATAGGAATAGAGAAGGAAGAGAATACTGTTCTAGTTTCTAACTTTTCTAATCACTTTTTTTCTTTATCCATGATAGCTTGATCTCTTTTCATTTTAGTGCAGAATGTGTAAATCACTCTTTTTTACATTTAATTTGTTATTAAACCTAACATAACAAAAAGTTTGTAGCTAAACATTTAACATTTTCCTGTTCAACAAACTGCGTTCAAAAGCATCGTTTATATCTACATTTTTATAATTATTTACATAAACAACCAGATGATTTAATAAATGTTGATCTCTTTCTTAAAAGAAATATTTTCATGTATTATATTTAGAGATTGTTATCAAAAACTAACTCTAATAAAAAATAGTTGTTTATAGATATTTATTAGTGATATACAATTTAATAACCAACGTTTGTTTCCTGCTTTTACGGACACTAGAAATAGAACTAGTTTAACATTGTTAGACTAGATAATTCATTACATCACGACTTTGTAGAGAAAAGTACATTTACAAAAACAATCTGCAGAACATGCTATATAAATGGTTCAGAAAAAAATGCCAAAAAAAAATTGAACGTAATTTTTTTGTGGTGCTAAAATACTCATTTTCTAATCATTTTTATTCCCACATACTTTCTGTTTATCTTTCAACATCAAAATAAAATCTGTTTAAGCAATTAACATTGTAACAAATAAAAAAAAAGTTTAATGGATTGATTAACTGTATGTCATTTAACATCTGATTTGAAAAAGAATCACTCAAATAGGGACGTCACTAAATTTACTTAGCACCAAAAGCCATTGAGCAGTGATGGATCTTTATTGGTTGAGGACAACACATTTTCTGACCTAAAAAATTTAATATACAATAATTTCCTGCGTACTTGTAATTAAATCTCTTTATAAGTTGCCGCATTCAATAATTTCAAAATGGTTAACTACCTTCAAGAGGGCCTTTTCAGTTAAATATTCAGTTAAAGCGAAAATATTTTGTGCCCCCAAATTTAATTTGTATTAAAACACATATATATAAATTGTTTACATGTATTTGTCATCTTGAATTGTACAAAACAAATTAAGGGAAAGATATGAGGATAACAAACAGTATTCAGTCTCAAAGTCCATAAAACAATACAAAATAAGATCAGAGCAAACGGGGACCCCGAAACATCAGACGTGGGACCAGGTGCAATGATGGAGTGAGCATCCCCTGCCGAACGGTCACACATGCCATGTGCTCCTTGTCATGATCAGGAAATAACGGAAAAAAATCCCTCGTCAATTCAGTGTATAATAAATGGGCTAACAATTGATTTGTAAAAACGTCAGTCAGCATTTGACTTAATGATAAATTGTATTTGCTGACAAGGTCATTCATTAACGTTGTATCGACCATAGAACTTACGAAATGATGACTTTAAAGAAAGTGCTGATATTCTTGTTTCATCAACTTGCTTGTCAATAATGTACCTCGTTTTAGAAATTGTTCATACGTAGAGCATGCTTTTGCGTATCAAATCAACTGAGATATATACATATATATATATATATATATATATATATATATATATATATATATATATATATATATATATATATATATATATATATATATATATATATATATATATATATATATATTCCGTATGCATGTGATGAAGGTATATTGGTTCATAAGTAAGGGAAATTGACGATAGAAAAGTTATCACGTTAACAAATGCTTTATTGTTAGACAACCATTATTATCTTTTTCAAGAAAAAAATATCTAACTATGAAACGAACGTGTCGGACTCTGTAGTATCTTTTATCTCAAGCTCACCAGGATTTATCGTATCGACGAAGGAATGGAAATAATCATCATTAATTGACAATGTGTCGTCGATATTTCTAAGTGTCAAATTGAAAGCCACAGCAAGTGTTTTCTTTTCACGCATAAGATTCTGCATTAATTTTAGCTTCATATAAATATAAAAATAAGTCTGCTAATAACGGAGGGCTATAAAGTAAAAAAAAAATTAAGCTGTTTATTTTGGTAAAGTCTTGTGATTTCAAATTGTCAAAAAAATTTTCAGAGTTTTTTTTTATAATTTCAACATCTATTAACGAAGTCCAAACTAGTTTTGCAAATTGAATGCCAAAGATTCTTTTGAATATTTGCAATGAACACATAAATGATTGCAAAAATCGTTAAACCCTATAACGCTTCATTGATAATATGATAATTTTTAACATGTTGATACAAACAAATTATTGTCAAAAATCTTGGGAATAACAACACAAGTCATACATGCATACTGAAAAAGACGTTGATAGTAATCTTACTATCAAGCACTATAATAATTGTGATGACTTAAACTTTTCTGTCGTCAACATCCCTTACTTATGCAGCAATATACTTTCTTCACCTGCATACGGAATATATATATTTTAGTTTATTAAATACGCAAGAGCCCGATTTCTCAAACTAGATAAATTATTGACAAGCAATTTGAAGAAACGTGAATATCAGCAGTCCCGTTTTAAGTCAGCATTTCGTAAGTTTTATGGTCGATACAATGACCTTGTCAGCAAATACAACTTATCATTGAGTCAAATCCTGACTTACGTTTTTCATTCTAATTGTAAGTTTATTATTTATGCAATGAAATAATGACGAATCTTTTCGTTATTTCCTGATCATGACATGGAACAAAGGAGAGCTGGAGATGCTCACTCCTCCATGGCATCTGATCCGATCTCTGATGGTTTAAAGGTCTGTGTTTGCGCTGCTCCTATTTTGTATTTTTATATTGCGTAATCTTCAACAGAATCTATAATATTTATGAAATTCCAAGCCAGTTGAAGGATCGGGGTTCCCAATAATTAAGATCTTTTATTTTAGAACGGTGATCTAGGGTCCTCATTATTAAGTATATTCATGTAACCTGTAATAACGTGTCAGGCAAGATTATATATATAGCCTAGCTAGGAACCATGAACACAATGGAGGATTATGTTTTAGATTTTTGATGTTCATGCACTTTGAAGTTTTCTTGTAACAAAACGTTTGGAAGCAATAGTCGAGGTAGTTATTTGTAGGAGATAAAAGGTTTAGTCTTAAGACTGAACTGTGATGAGATGTAAAACTGAGCCCTTTTTTTATTAAAAATATTGCATTTATTAATCATGTCCATTCATTTAATTTCTTATCTAAAATTAAGGCAAAGACGGATTGTTTCAGCTTCATTTACCTCTGTAAGCCGTGAGGTGTGGTTTGGTCAAAAAGGCTTTGATTTGTAATATCTATAGTCAACGATTCTGGTGTCCATTTCTTACAGCTATTTAAGAATTAGTGCATTGTTGTCGGCTCAAAACAGTTAAAATAGGAACGTCCATTTTAAAAGTTACCTAGAGTAGATACTTTCATAAGATATGATAAGGATATCTAATGATTTATGGCATTTTGTTATGAATGTTATCAAATATTATTTTACTGTCACTGAGCACAAAATATTTAGGAAAAAAAAAACGTTTCTCAGTGAAATAATTTCACATTCAGCCACAAAACATTTATTATTCTATTTTCATATATTTTGTCTCTGTAATTTCTTAAACACTGTGTTATTGTCTTTGGGTTTGGATTTGGAATTTAGCAACATATTTGGGAAGAACATAGCAGTTTTAGTCTCCGTCAAATTGAAATAATTGCTATCTTTATCTTATAACAGCCATACATTTGTATGCGCCTGGATCGATAGATCCAGGGGCCTGTATTGTTTTTCTCCTGTCTGTCTACAAACTTTAACCTTCGGCATAACTTTTGAACCATCAAAGATAGAGAATTCATATTTGGTATGCACATTCCACTAATGCAGCTCTTTCAAGTGACACCAAATGCAATGTCATTGACCTTGTGACTTTGACTGCGACCTATACGCTAAAAATAGTTTTTCCTGTAAACATTAAACTTCGCCGTAACTTTTGAACCATGGAAGATAAAGACTTCAGATTTGGTGCGCATACTCCACTCATAAAGCTCATTCAAATGGCACAAAGGTCAATGACCTTGTGACATTGACTATAACCTATATGCTAAAAATAGTTTAAAAAATAGTTTTATTTAACTTTAACCATAACTTTTTAACCATGTGAGATAAAGACTTCATATTTTGTATACATACCCCACTAATTGAGTTCTTACAAACAACACCAAGGTCAATGACTTTGAGACCGTGACTGTGACCGATATGCTAGAAATAGCATTTTTCGAACTCTGCTGCGACCGTGCACATAGTGTTTCACAAACACATCTTGTTTAGTAAATGAATTCCTTTGCAAACTATAAAACATCACTTTAATTCAAGAAAAATTTACACTATTGACAACGTATTAATGTAATAATGTCAGTCAAATGAGACAAGACAAGAGAGAGAGAGAGAGA